ACCTTGGGGCGGCGGCCCTTCCCCGAACGAAACTGCGCTGCAGCAGCAGTCTCAGCCACTGCGGCAGAGCCGTCGGAGAAGGTACACTGGGCGGGGGCACAACCCTGAAAGATAGGGACCAGCACGACACCGCTCGCCTGGGCGATGGAGCGATGACGGGTCTCTATCACAGTCAGGGTGTCTACAAAGTCAGTGAGGGTGAGGTCTGCGGGGTGAATGCTAAGGAAGCGGTCGCGGGCGACAGCAAGGCGGTCAGGGAGGCGGGTGGCAAGCAGGTAGAGGGTAGAGGTAATGGGCGGCTGGTGGGCTCTAAGCTGTGCATCAGTGCAGGCTGCACGCCAGGTCTCATCTATCGAGCGCAGGTGGGCAGCGAGGTCAGAGACAGTGGGGAAAGATGCAAGGTCAGGAAAGAGCATCGGGAGGATCAGGCGACCCACCGAGGCAGCCGGAGGGGTGGAATAGCGCTGGATGACAGCATCTAAGTATGTCTGAGCAGTGGTGAGAGACCTAAAGCGAGGGCGCTCGGACGGGGGAAGGGCGTTGCTGATGGCAAGCTGGGTGACAGCATCGCGAGAAAGCCAGACAGAGCGCGCATGGGCAGTGGCAGCAGTGGGCTCGCGCTCAGTGGGTGTGGAGTCAGCGGGCAGAATAGCAAGGGGGCCTGGGCAGGGGAGCGTACCGTCAAGGTGTGCGGAGAGCGGTTCACCATCCTGCCGCTGGCCAGTGAGTTGGCGTCGGAGGTCGGCAAGCCACGCCTCGAACTCCAGAGGCTGGCCTTCAGCGTCGAAGCGAATCTCCGCCGCCATCAGGAACAATGCAGTGCGGTGCAGGGCAGTGCAGCAAGGTGGAGTGCAGTGCCGTGCGGTACAGTGCGATGCAGTGCGGTGCAGTGTGGTGTAGGGCGGTGCAGTGCGGTGCCAGGCAGTACAGGGTGGTGCGGGGCGGTGCAGTGCGGGGCAGTACGGTGCAGGGCAGTGCAGGCCGGAGGGGGGGGGGGGGGGAACCGTACCAGTGAGGAGGACCGGGGCCGGGGCAGGGACGAGCGCAGGGGCCGGGCCGGTGCAACGGGGCCGGGCGGGCGCGACGGGGCCGGGCGGGCGCGACGTGGCCGGGCTGGTGCGACGGGGCCGGGCGGGTGCGTCGGGCCGGGCTGGTGCGACGGTGCCGGGCCGGTGCGACGGGGCCGGGCGAGCAGGACGGTGACCCAGGAGGGGCGCACCGGGGCTGGGCGGGCGCGACGGGGCCGGACGGGTGCGACGGGGCCGGGCGGCTGCGACGGGGCCGGGCAGGGGGCGACGGGGCCGGGCGGGTGCAACGGGGCCGGGCGGGTGCAACGGGGCCGGGCGGGCGTGACGGGGCCGGGCTGGTGCGACGGGGCCGGGCTGGTGCGACGGGGCCGGGCTGGAGCGACGGGGCCGGGCGAGCGCGACGGGGCCTGAAGGCGTGACGCGGCCCAGGAGGGGCGCTACGGGGCCCAGGAGGGGCACGACGGGGGCCCAGGAGGGGCGCTACAGGGGCCCAGGAGGGGCGCGACGGGGCCCAGGAGGGGCGCTACGAAGCCCAGGAGGGGCGCGACAAGGCCCAGGAGGGGCGCGACAAGGCCCAGGAGGGGTGCTACGGGCCTAGGAGGGGCGCGACGGGGCCTGGGAGGGGCGCGACGGGGCCCAGGAGGGGCGCTACAGGGCCCAGGGAGGGCGCGACGGGGCCCAGGAGGGGCGCTACGGGGCCCAGGAGGGGCGCGACGGGGCCCAGGAGGGGCGCTACGAGGCCCAGGAAGGGCGTGATGGGGCCCAGGAGGGGCGCTACGGGGCCCAGGAGGGGCGCGACGGGGCCCAGGAGGGGCGCTACGAAGCCCAGGAGGGGCGCGACGAGGCCCAGGAGGGGCGCTACAGGGCCTAGGAGGGGCGCGACGGGGCCTGGGAGGGGCGCGACGGGGCCCAGGAGGGGCGCTATGGGGCCCAGGAGGGGCGCGACGGGGCCCAGGAGGGGCGCTGCGGAGCCAAGGAGGGGCGCGACGAGGCCCAGGAGGGGCGCTACAGGGCCTGGGAGGGGCGCGACGGGGCCTGGGAGGGGCGCGACGGGGCCCAGGAGGGGCGCTACAGGGCCCAGGATGGGGCGCGACGGGGCTAGGGGGGTCGCGACGGGGCTAGAGGCTAGGGGGGTGAGCGGAAGCGGTAGGTGGAGGGGGGGGGGATCCTACCTACGCGTGATACCATATCAAAATTGAGAAGTGAAATGTGGATAGAGTGAGAGTACACACAGATATACCTAAGTGTTGTACTCTCTAAGAGGCGACCCTATACAGTCTATACAAACATGACAAATACACATGTTTGACATCAACTTCTATTGTTCCTTTCCCACCATGCTTGTAGTTTATAATTGATTCTATTGTTCCACGCCTCTTGTGTGTGGTTGTTCCATAAACAGGCGCTGGCCCAACCTCATGCTTCTCTGGCAAGCATGCGCGGTGTTACCACTCTCAACTGTGGAGTGCGAGCGTGGTTTTTCCAGGCAGAACGTGATCAAGTCTTGGGTCCGTGGTGCTCTGTGCAATGCCCGCCTGGGTGAGCTGATGATGATTTCGCTGCTGAGATACAACATCAACTGGCAAGAGGCGCTGGAGCTGTGGCACGCAAAGAAGAGAAGACCAGCGAAGTCGGTGGTGTTCGCATCACAAGAGAGGAAGGGCAAAGGCAAGGCTCTGCTGGAAGAGGCAGAGCAGGAACCTCCAGTGCCAGACTATTTAGGAGAGGATTGGAATGAGGAGGAGGAGGAGGAGGGGGAGAGGGATGGTGGAGGTGCAGTAGCTATAGAAGACAACCCCTTTCTGTTGGATGATGAGGCGGAGGATGTTGTCGCTGTGGATGTGCCTGAGTTCTAGCTAGGCTAGGAAATTAGACTAGGTGTAGGTTAACTGCCCGAATGTTATAAAATAATGGCGACTAAATGGTAAAATCACGACTCTGATTCATACTTGCGAACCCTGAAGAAATCAGACTTGAGAGTCACTGGATCCTGAGAAATCAGACTACCATGAAATCTGAAACCTGACTACTCAGACTTGGGAAAAAAATTTGGGGCTAAAATCAGAGTGGGTTTTTTTGATACGTCAGCCCTGCTAGCCGCGCCCTAGCCCTAGCCGCGCCCGTGCTACCTCGGCATTTACAGCAAACCCTGAAAAATGACAGCACTAGACTAGAGAGCCGAGGCAAACTAAGCACTTTCTGTGCCTGCTATCTATCGCCAAGAACCAGCAAGTGGTATCACAGATCCATCCACACTGGTGGCGCTCTCCCACTGCCCAAGGCACGCTCACTGCCCTCAATCACATAGCTGCAGAGGAAACAAACAGCCCAGAAGGATCAGCAAGGAAGATACGGTATGTGACAAGAGAGACATACCGCTGAACCAGCAGCAGACACAGAGAGGTTGTGGGCACAGGCAAGGCAAGGCATGGTAGCATGGGCAATGAACGGCGCGATGCATTGAAATGAGCGGTTGCAGCGACACGGCCTTTATTGAAACAATGTGAATGAATGGATGAATGGTGGCGCATGCATGAGGCAGGCATGCATGTGGCAGGCTTGCATGTCGCAGGCATGCATGTGGCAGGCATGTATGTGGCAGGCATGCATGTGGCCGGCATGCATGTGGCAGGCATGCATGTGGCCGGCATGCATGTGGCCGGCATGCATGTGGCAGACATGCATGTGGCAGGCATGCATGTGGCTGGCATCCATGTGGCAGGCATGCATATGGCAGGCAGGCATGCATGTGGCAGGCAGGCATGCATGTGGCAGGCATGCATGTGGCAGGCATGCATGGGGCAGGCATGCATGTGGCAGGCATGCATGTGGCAGGCATACATGTGGGCGGCATGCATGTGGCAGGCATGCATGTGATCAGGTGATACGAGGGCCTGAAGTGGGTGAGGTGCCTTCAAAAAAGTGTGCTGCAATTTGGGAATGACGCATTGCGGGGAAGACGGCAGAGGAGACTTTATGAACAGAACAAAAAGCAGGAGGTGCGGAAGAAATTGCAGAGAGAACGGGCGGCAACAGGGAGTGGCAGAGGCAGCATCGAGAGGGGTTGATGAGATGAAATTCACCCATGCGGACCCACAGAAAGCACAGGAGGCATGTGCTGTGTGGCTGGGAGTGGGTGGCAGGGGGTATATGCAACGCCTAGAGATGACATAGTTAGCAGGAAAGGATGGGGTATGAATCAGGCATAGGGGGGAGGAGTGGGTATGGGGAGGGGGAGGGAATGGGAAAAGGAGGAGCACGAGCTGCCATCCAGAATCAGCAATGAGTGTGTACGGGCGGGTGCTTGTGGGTGTGAGTGTGCATGAGTGTATGAGTGTATGAGTGTATGAGTGCATGAGTGCATGAGTGTATGAGTGTATGAGTGCATGAGTGCATGAGTGCATGAGTGCATGAGTGCATGAGTGCATGAGTGCATGAGTGCATGAGTGTATGAGTGTGTGGTGGCACCGACCGAGCTGCATCAAGCAAAAAGAAGAAGATGAGAGAAACCCGAGCAAGTGCCAGGGAAGCACGGCTGGTGTGGGTGGTGCTTGTGGGTATGTGTGCGCTTGTGGGTGCTCAGCGACAGCAGTATGACCCCCAGCAGCAGACGCACGGTAGAGGGGCAAACACTGTTTTGCTGACACACCATCTCAGCTCTCATGTCGTCCTTTGTTGATAAGGTGAGACGACGGGAAAACGCTGCTGTAGAGGAGGGGGAAGGGGATAGAGAGGGCAGGAGGCATAGAGGACATCAAAGGCCTCTCGGCCAGCAGCCGCAAGAAGCGGTGTGGAGGGAGAGGGGTGGAAGAAGGGGGAGGCGGGGGAGAAGGGGGAGGGGGGGGGGAGCAGGGTTCTATTTATCAGACTTTTTTTGTCTGAGCGTCTGATTTGCAAACCCGAAATTGTGGCTTCAGACAGATTTTCAAGAAATCGGAACACTTTACCATGTACTTCTTGCACAAACTAAACAGTTATGTAAAACTTCATACACAACGTGTCTTCATAATAGGAGTTGCAGTTTCCAGATTCAGAAAATCAGACAAAAAAAGTCTGATAAATAGAATCCTGGGGGGAGAAGGCGGGAGAGAAAGAGGGTGAGAAGAGGGAGGAGAAGTGGAACCGAGGGTCCGGTGCTGCACTTTGGGGGTAGCCCTGAGGAAAAACGGGTAGCCCTGAGGAAAAACGGGTACGATTTGCAGATTAGTAGAAACAACGCCCTGTGGGGGAAAAGGCAGAGGAGAGGGGGGTTGAGAAGGAGAATAAGGTGCGGGGAGGAGGAAGGGAAGGGCGAACAAGGAATGTATGCGGCAGGTCGCATGGCTGATTCCTTTCTTCTCCCGGGAGCACGGTGTCCCAGCTCTGCCTGCTCCCCTCACCTCTCTCTTTCACCTTTAGGAGCCTTGCCTTCTCTTCCTCCCCCCTCTCCCTCCCCCCCTCCCTCCTCCCCCCCCCCAACTCCCATCTGCTGTCCCCCCACCCCCCCCCGTTCCCCTGTGCTCAGTGCCCCAGAACAGCCCCACTTTTGCTGCAACGCCTCCCCGCTTCCCACGTTTGCACATCGTTCTGCCCAGCTCCATCGTTCTCCATCGCCTTTTCTCCATCTTCCCGCCAAAGTCCGCTCCCCATCCACCCCTCTTGTCACACCACCTCACCTTGTCACGACCCCGCCTCACCTTGTCACGACCCTGCCTCACCTTGTCACGACCCTGCCTCACCTTGTCACGACCCCGCCTCACCTTTCCTCCCTTACCATCTCCCACCCGCCTTCCGCCTTCTCCCCTCTTTTCCCCGTCCCCCCTCCCCCGCCTTCACTGCTGCTTTAACTTCCCGCATCACCTGCTGCAGTCGCCTCGCAGCCTTCAACCACTCACCAAAGCCCGATGCTCACTCCAGCCCGACACTCCTTCAAGCAGTCCCCCATTCGCCCTATCCGCCCCATCCGCCAGCATCCGCGCGCTCATCCCGCTCGCACTGATCTCCGTCGGACCATCTCCCATGGGCCGTCCGCCCGTCCGCGCAACCTCCATGCAGTCCTCCATCCGTGCCCCCGCCGTCTCTACCCAATCTCCCGCTCCTCCCGTCCTGGGCAATTTCCCAAGGGACCGTCTCCTCATCGCCAGGTCGCATCCGTCACGGCTTTGAGTCGCCGGCCGCCTCAATATTTGCTCGTCTCGCCCGCTTCTGCTAATATCCCGTGGGACCAACCATTTCTGTGAATCAGTTTCCCATCCGTCACTTGCAGCGCGACTGGGATGGCGGGACAGAGCAGCAGCAAGAGAGACCATTCTCGAGCCGAGGAACCCGTCAGTTGCTCTCAATGTAGCGAGCCGTGAGAACGTGCACATGGCTGTCGATACGAGAGACTTGGTTGGTTCGGGCAGGTGGAAAATGACGTGGCGAACGGAAACTACGCGCTGATGGAAGGTGAAGTTATGAGAATGCGGGGGGCCTCGTGCCAGTATTGCTGGTGGTGATGGTGATGTGTGAGGGGATGAAGCTGTGATCGCGCGACTGCTCGTACGGATATGGCTGGAGGAGATGGGTGAAGAGGTGGCGGGGCGGGCGGCAGGCTGCGGGGATCCGCGAATTAGGGGCTGGCGAAATGGGGTGTGCTCTGGCGAAATGGGGTGTGCACTGGCGAAATGGGGTGTGCTCTGGCGAAATGGGGTGTGCACTGGCGAAATGGGATGTGCTCTGGCGAAATGGGGTGTGCTCTGGCGAAATGGGGTGTGCTCTGGCGAAATGGGGTGTGCTCTGGCGAAATGGGGTGTGCTCTGGCGAAATGGGGTGTGCTCTGGCGAAATGACACAGGCATCGAAACCAAAAGCATTGGCGACAACGAGGAGTTGGCTTTGGTTGGGTCTGGCGAAAATGAACCGGCTTGGCGAAACGTGAATTGAATGTGCGAATTTGGAACAAATCGAGAATTCGTTGACGAAGGGTTATTTTCACCTTAAGAAGGGAAGTGACAACATGTACGAAAATGCACGACGAGCGCCAAAAAGGGGATGTGCCAGCCGGGAATCGAACCCGGGTCTGCACCGAACTCATGGCAGGGTGCTATTCTACCACTAGACCACTGGCACACTGAACACGTTAAAAGATAGACCATTTATAAACATTATAAACTACCTTTTTTTCTTCGCGCATGTCTCGCACAAGTAGATCCTCGCACGTGATCAGAATTTTCGTCGCCGCGAGAGGGTTGCATGTCCGAAAAATGTAGCGTGTACCTGGTTACAATCTAACCTCGAGAAGGCTGCATATTTCAAGAACCAATTGAGGCGCACGTGTATCTTCTTGAGGCTGCTGGATTTGACATTTGGTAATTTTCGAAACACGCCCTCGCTTCTGCGGGGTCATCTTCATTCCTGCTGTTTTCTCGTTTTTCCAACCAGGAATTCACACTCCCGATATTCCTTATGCCGTAACACCCACCTAAGCCATGGGGGATTGGCCTGACAAGCCTCTAGAATCTAGAAAACAGACGCGACTCTGCAAGACATTTAGTGGGTCAGCCAACCATGTGGCGACAGTTACGAGGCGAGCAAGACGACTACGCGAGATTCGTCCAGCAAGCGACATGACAGCCTACACATTTACATCTTAGCCAGTACATCCCTACCTCACGGTTCTTCGGGGAGATGAGGGCTTAGCACACCGCTCGCAGCAGCAATTCCGCGTGATCGTGAAGCCTTTGCCCCGCAGGAACCGCCTAAAGCATACTAGGTACGCAGCCTCGACAAAGGCATCGTCAGCGATTCGGAATCCGACCGTTTGGTCCCAATCCGAGCCACTTGAATAACGGCCCAGCGCGTTACCCAACATGCAGATCTCACTTGCCCTTCGCACAGTCGAACGCGTTACAATAATCACCGTTAGCTCGCTTAGGGATGCGGGGATTCTCGGGGCTCCTGGAAGGGGTCAGTCTGGCCTTGGGACGGCCTCTGGCGACTGCAGCGAAGCGTTTCGGCGATTTCAGAGGCGAGTGGTTAATCGGGCCGATCGCCTCTGAAGCTCCACAGTGCATGTGGATGCTTTTGTATTTCCAACCTCGACTTTACCGTCTCGATCCTGGTTGCAGCTTGTGCGTCATCCCTTCTCTCGTCAAGCGCTCCTTCCCCAGGCTTCTCCTCCTCCCTCATCCCACACGCTTCTCCTCCTCCCTCATCCCACACTCTTCTCCTCCTCCCTCATCCCACACTCTTCTCCTCCTCCCTCGTCCCACACTCGTCACATCGCTGCCCCCACCAGGAGAGGGCGGCGACCGCTGCTACACGTCCAGCCATTGTCCGTGCTTCGATCGCGCCATCATGTCCCTCCCTCCCACCACCTTCTCCTCCCCCCCCCCTCATCTACATCCATCCAGGTCGCCACATCGCCGCCCCCGCCAGGCGATGGCGACGACCACTGCTGCACGTCCAAGCAGGAGCAGGTGGATCTTGTGTCCTCTGTGAGTCACTCTCCCTGTCTTCACTGTCCTGTGAGACAGGCATTTCTGTTTCCGTGCCCTCGCGGCTTGACGTTCCGAATTAACCTCTGCCACACGTCCACGCAGGAGCAGCTCGATCTGCTCTCCACTGTGAGCCCGCCCTCGTGCCTTGAGTGCGCTGTGACTGACTGCATTGTCTCCACACCTCTAGCCCGTATGGCCGCTGCCACACGTCCAAGCAGGAACAGCTCCATCTACTCTCCACCGCGAGCCTACCTTTCTACCTTGAGTGCGCTGTGAGACCAGCGGTTTACAAGGGGTTTAATTTGCAGCCGCCTGCTGGAGGGAAGCGTGATGACAGCCAGGTTGCTTTCCGTTTCAAGATGCCACACGTCCAAGCAAAGCCACGCCTCTTGCTTTCTCTCTCTTCTGGCACTGAGTGTAGGCGATGGGAAGCCTAAGAGAGGAGGTCCTAGCACGTGACCGCCATCGTGAGGCGGGCTGAGCATTCCTCCTGTATTGTTCCTCCTGTATTGTTCCTTGTGTG